TTTTTTATTTTTTTTAATTCCATTCATTAAAAGCAAAAAAAGTAACTTAAAAAAATTTATTATTTAAATACCACTTCCCACTCACCATTTTAAACACCTACTTCCTTCTTTTTCTTCTCAATTCTTCACCTTCATTGTCTAACAAAAGATTCATCATCTTATTATTATTATTATTATTAATTTGTTCTATTCTTGTTCATATAGTATTCTGATTTTGTCACAATGTCGTCTCTTCCTCTGATACGATGATGACTTTTTCTTCTTCTTCTTCAAATGAAGCCGAAACTTTGTTCACAAACGTGATAGTGGAGGCGGCAAAAGTTATATCCCAACATGCATAAATCAGAAATGTGTTAGAGTCTGTTAAGGAATGTATTAGGGTTTGTCGTTAACGGGCTCATTCTTGTTGGGCTCGTAATTAGGTCATGGTATTGTAGCTATTATAAATAGCGGATCCATGTGTAATCAATTCAATCAAGTTTAGATCTAAATATATTTCTACATGGTATCGGAGCCAACCTGGGAACCTAAACCCTAGTCTGCTCTAATCTGTCGCTTCCGTTGTTGCCGTCGCCGGTGGTTTGTCCGGCGACATCATATCTAATCTCTTTACCAAAATCTGTCTCGAGGTTTTCAAAAAAAAATCTGTCTCGAGATTTTGTTCTGCTATTAAATTCAAATCTGCCTAGAACAGAGTCAAAGTTTGGCCGCCGCTGAAGATGTCTTCCCTGGCAGTCCCGTTTGTACGTTCGGTGCTTTTGATAGGTTCATCGGTACCGAAGTCCCAAATTAGTGTTGCTGCTTAATTCTATCTTTGAGTAGTTGCCAAAGTGATTACTTGTTTTGTTTATTCTGTGCTCCTACATCGCGAAGAAGATTTTCAACCAGACCCAGTTTTGATCGACGTTTTTGTCAACTTTGTTTTTGGTTGTTATTTGGTATGTTCAAGTGCAACCAGCTGTATATTCGGCATGTTTGTTTGTGAGGTTGGTCGCATAGTCGCGCCTCAGTTCGACATATTTTTTTGTGAGGTTGGTTGCATAGTCGCGCCTCAGTCCGGCAACACGGCCTCCAAGTTTGGGATGCTTGTTAGTCGTCCCCGTGTCACCGCGTGGGAGTCATTCGTCATCAAAATTTATTGTTCGTTTGCAGGGCCGGTCACTTTCATTCGTTGTTGTCACAGCAGATCAAGTTCAAGTTGTTTATCAAGTTTTTTTTAGACTTAGTTTTGTTTTAATTGTCCAAGTTGTGCATTCCTTAACCTCATGCTCAACTTGAGGGTGAGTGTTAAGGAATGTATTAGGGTTTGTCGTTAACGGGCTCATTCTTGTTGGGCTCGTAATTAGGTAATGGTCTTGTAGCTATTATAAATAGCGGATCTATGTGTAATCAATTCAATCAAGTTTAGATCTAAATATATTTCTACAGAGTCGAGAAGAAGAAATATTTTCAGTTGTCACGAGATCGCTCACGTATAAAAATTTAAATCCTTTTTACGCTTCGTTTTTAAATCCCAAATAAATTTAAATATTTAAATATTCATATCTTTTTTTGCTTTAAATTATGTTATGCACATCCTAGCTGGTCATGACCGATTTGTGATCGATTACTTTGCAGAAAATCCAGTCCACACCGATGAATAGTTTAGGTGTCACTTTGGTATGAGTCACAATCCTTTCCTCCATATTGCCGATGATTTGGCACACCGATCCTTTTTTACTCTACAACTGGATGCCAGGTAGAATTTGGACTTTAGTACCTTACAAAAGTGAACCGCAACGGTTCAACTACTGGCATACGACATATCCACTGACGCACTTGATGATTATCTGAGGATGTCAGCTAGAACGTCTCATATAAATGATGTTTGTGGGCACAGACATTTATCCGATCCTTATAGTATGAAAATTATTGTCCTATTTCGAGGAGAAAATTGAACTCAATTTCATAGCAAATTTATATTGTTGTGTTAGCGAAGGATGTAAGTTTTTTTAACAAACAAACTTTTACTATTACCCAATATAATTAAAATGATGATTAAAAAAATCCTATAAAAATGAAAACAATGTGTTTTTATCTCATAAAGAGGAGTATATGTTCAAAATTCATTATATTAAAGAATAAAAAAGACTACTACCATTTTTACACTACCAACTAGAGAGTAGTAACTTAATCTTACTGTCTTTGTCTAATTTTACTCTCAAATTGTATTACTTGTTAGTACAATAAAATAAAAAATTGAAAGTCCCAACAAGATAAATCTAATAAAATCAATTTTTTACTAATATACATTACAATTTTTGAATAACTAAAGCTCAAAATTGATGCAATTTGACATAAAAGGGACAAATTTACTTAAATAGCACCAAAACATAGTGAATTTCTCTATATAGCACCACAAGTTTTAATTTCCATAACTAGTACTAATTAATTATTAATTCTAGTGTACTAAAATGCCCTTTATATGCTTTTATATTTTCTGATCCATCACGTCCTACTGTCTTTCACCGGCCGCCGATCCCAAAATGTAAATGTCAGTGTCCCATCGTCACTCCGTTAATGTCTATTATGTATGATTTAATGACATGATAATCAGTCTTCTATATGTCTCACAAAGAATCCAATTTTTCATAAGCGTATGAAGCATGTGGGTACCGATTGTCACTTTTTTCATGAACAAGTTATCGTTGGGAGTTGGGACTATAAAAGTGTCACATGTTTTTTCTGAAGACCAGCTTACTGATTTGTTGACCAAACCATTGTCATTTGTCAAAACCGTGCTTCTTGAGACTTGCTTCTAAGCTTCCACTCGTGACACAGTGTTCAGCTTGAGGGGAGATGTTAGACAACTAATTGTGATATTATTAATTATGGTAGGCTTTGTATTTTTAGTCAGCTACTATTTCTATTTCCTAGTTCTAGTTGGAGTTGTATTCCTCTCTATGAATACTCTCTCATGCATTCTTAATTCCTTGATCAATACAATTATTCACTTGTTCTTTTATCCAATAGAGAGCTTGGTGTGATTAATGTCGGAGTTGGTGATGTTGAATTCCCCTCGAATTCATTTATGGTATGTTTGGAAACATGAATTTGGATTTCAAATCTGGATTTGGCTTAAATTCCATGTTTGGAAAACTTAAAAATTTTAAATTTGGATTTGAGTCAAGTTAGTCTCATTCAAAACAAAGTTTAATTTGAAATCCATGCACCTCATCTTGTCATTTGAAATTCAAGATTTCAAATTTTGAAATTGAAATGCATGAATTGAAATGAAATGCTAGTTTCCAAATACTACCTTATATAATTGTACCAAAATCTAATTAGGAGACTTTTTGTGAGGAGTGCTTCTATGATGCACTTAGGTACATACCATTTTCGTGAGGAGTGCTTTTTGTGAGGAGTGCTTCGATTCTCACATAATTTTTTTAATTTTATTTTTTAATAAACCATTGTTTATCTAAGTAGTACTCCCTCCGTTCCACAAAACCCTTCCCCTTTCGTTTTTTTTGAATTCCCTAAAACACTTCCACTTTCTATTAAAAAACCATTTTTATCCTTACTTTTTCATACCCTACCTATCGCATCATACTTTTTCACTAATAACCAAACTATCACATCTTACTTTTACCCATCACATCGGGGGCAAAATTGGAAAGTCAACTAAAATTACACTTTCCTTATTTTTGCCAAAAGTCAAAAGTGGAAGGGTTTAAGGGAACGGAGGGAGTAAGAAATTACTCATTTTTCTCATATGTAGATTCATGATGAAGCTAAGGTCTCCTCGGGTTTACCATAGAATTTGTTTTTTTTTGAGACAGAGGGAGAGAATATAAACATTTAAAAAAATAATAAGAAAAATATGGAGTGAGAGAAAGTTAGGTACTTAGGTAGGGAGTGTATACTAATACAAATGCTAATGTGGGTTTATTTGAGTAGGCAGGGAGGATTAGAGGGACGGATGTTTACAGGTTGGCCTAAGTGAAGACAACATTATAAAAATCGAAATGCTTGGAATGGAATGGTTGGCTGGCTGCCTTAGTGGCTTGTCATTGTCAAAACTAAACTCACTCCTCTGTTCCAAAAGTACTACCTCCTCCGTCCCTAAATATTTGTTCACTTTTGACTTTTTTCGATCAAAGTTGGTAACTTTGATCTCAAATTAAATAAAGATGATATTAGATATTGATACAAAAACAGTTTTATTAGATTTATTATAACAACTATTTTCTAAATATTATTTTATCTAAATAAAATATAATTTATATTTTATTTAATTATAGGTCAAAGGTTGAAAATAGTTGATCGAAAAAGTCAAAACTGGACAAATAATAGTAGTAAATATGTATCGGCTAATTAAAGTGGAGAGTCTACTTACTCTCTCTCTCTGTCTCTCTCTCACTCCTTGCCGTGGAAACTCAGTCGTCGATTCCAAGTACTGAGTTTGGTGTCAAAACTGCAACTTGTGCATGGACAATAACACTCGATATTAGACCCACTCAAATGCTAGTTCGACCAAAAAAATATAGCATTTTGTGCATGTGTGAACCATCACACTCACACAAAATGCAGGTGCACACATGTGGTGTATAATTTGGGCTATAATTTTCGATGTAGAAGTAGCTTAATTTTTACTCCTTTCGTCTTAAAAAGAGTCACTTTTTGTAATTTACGAGGTTTGACTGAAGTTATTTTCTACTCAACGTATTTCAAAATTGGTCAGGAATTACAAAATAAAATTTATGTATTTGAAAAACCATAAAAAATACGAAGTATACAAAATAATAGGTGATAAAACTATATTATTCTTTTTAAATAATGGGTCAAGATTGTTATTAAAATTTGACAACATAAGTAGTAAACAATCAATTTAAATTTGGACAAAGGCAATAATTTATATGTCATGCTCAAAATTTTCATAATTAGGACTACATTAAGGGGCTGTTTGGCAACTTCTGAATGGGTAAGTGCTGAACCAGTAAGAGGTCTGAACCATTAAGAGCTAGTATATTGCTTAACTATTCAGAGGCAAATGTCTGATCAATTCAGATAACAGCTCTTAACCATTCAGACTCTGTATAATACTTAACCATTCAGAGGCAAATCTCTTAACCATTCAGACATCTGAACCATTAAGAGGCTGAAACAAACAGTCTGAATCATTAAGTGCTGAATCATTCAGACATCTGAACCATTAAGAGGCTGAAACAAACAGCCCCTAAGTTTGGGGTCCATGGAGAAATCAACCCAGCACTTTAAGGGTATGTTCTTTAGGACGGAAAAAAAGGCTGGATGTTGAAAGAAACTGAAAAATTTTGGAAAAACTGAAAAAAATTAAAAGAAACTGAAAAACTAGAAAAAATTGAAAAATCTAAAAAAAGTTTTAAAATTTTTTTTATGTGTGGTTTTTCATTATTCTCATTCTGATTTCTTGTTGTTATAAATTATTATTATTATTATTATTATTATTATTATTATTCTTATTCTTATTGTTGTTGTTGTTGTTGTTGTTGGTGGTGGTGGTGGTGGTGTTATCACGTTATCTTAATGATTGTTTTTAAGATATAAAAAAAATATTACGAGTATTATTTTTCATATATAAAAAGCTAGTTTAAAAAAAATAATTAGAATATAAAATTAGCATAAATATCAAAATGTTAAATACTTAAGAGTTATTATGGCTATGTTGTTTTTATTATAAAATAATGTATTTGTAATTATATTTTATATATTACAAGATTTTGTAAATATATTTTATATATTACAAGATTTTGTTTTATATATTAAAAGATTTTGTTTTTGATTAATATACAAAAAAAGGTATTATTCATATTAAAAAGTTGAAGAAAAAATATTGATGAATGTGAATCATAAAAGTAGTGAGATGAAAAAATGAAATAATTTATAAACTATAGTTCTGAACATAAAAGTTGTAATAATAATAATAAGAAGAAGAATAATAATATTTTTTTTAGAAAGATTTGTCAGAAAGTGGAAAAAATTTGAAGAAAATAAATATAGTTGGAAGAAATTAGAAGGAACTACAAAAAAAACTGGAAGAAACTTTAAAGAACTGGAAGAAACTGGAAGTTAAGAGTTCAAGCTCTAAAGAACATGCCTTAAGTCTTTCAATATTACGCATATAGCACTCCTTAATCTTTTATATCAATTTAGCTATTTATAGTCTCAATATCTTTCAAGCATACTCTCTACCTTTTAATAGATTCTACTATTTTTAATTACTTTTAATTTTTTGATTAAACTTAGGTTATTCACGTAGTCACTCCTCCTCATTCGTGCGTCTCATCCGTGTGAGAACATCATCCTACGCCGTTTATCATATCTCTGTGAGATTGTCCTCCTACGCAGTTTACCAATGTATAATGCCTAAACAAGTTCGCACGTATTAAATTAAGTTCCATATTTAATGCCCATGTTTGGCTAGTGTGTTTTGGTGTAATAGATTATTCATGAAATCAGTCATACATTTTCGGGCAGTGTGCAATTCATATATGAAAACAGTCATACACATTTTTGGTAGTGTGGAATTCATACATGAAAACAGTGTGGAATTCATACATAAAAAGAGCTGTACATTTTTTGGGTAGTGTGGAATTAATACATGAATTAATATTGAATAAGTTTTTAATATGATATGTTCTGATCTAATATGTTCTGAATATAATTATATTTAAAACTATTCTTGATATGATTTGGTCTGACCTAATCTGGTTTGATCTGATTTTAATAAGAAAAGATAATAAGCATGGGTGACCCGGAGAGTGTGCAAAGTAATCAACCGCACAGGGTCCCTAAAATTTTAGGGCCTCATATCTTTAAATTTGATATTAATTTTAAAGCATAAGTATTCTAAAAAATAAAATAGGACCCAAAATGGTAATTTTGGACCGGACCAATTTTATTTTTTCATTTTTCAGAAACAACCAATAATATGTTATAGACAAGCAATAAAAATAAGTTATAGACAACATGAACTTAGAGCTTCTTTATTGGCGGCAAAGGGAACCCGAGTGCTAGTGTTTTCTAACTCTATAGGCATGTTTCTTAATCGGACGGGGCCTAATATCCCTCCGTCTAGAGGAACATTATTTCATCACTGATGGTGGAAATTACCTAACCGGATAAATAATACTAGACCGGGTCTAGGATTGTTTACTTGATTCGTAGAAGTAAAAAGGTAAAACACACAAAATGACTGGGAGGACTGTAGGTAGAAACACATGTAGCCCAATTGATATTATAAATATAGAAGAATGCATGAGAGATTTTACAAGGGAGTTTTAGAGAGAAAAAATTGGATCACCTCCTTTGAAGGTTACAACAGTATTTATACTAAGCTTAAAGGGGACAAAGCACCGCTCATCCACGTCAGGGTACGTTCCTGGGTGGTGGAAGGTGACTCCCTCGTCGCGTAGTGCTTTGGACGGATTATTCAAGCATCACCAATGATTCTCCATTGATTTTGGTCGCTACGGTCCAAGCTCCTTTAGATTCTTCTCTGCTGACACTTTCCAACCCCAGAAACCATACCGAGTAGTTTCTGAGGGATGGATTTACTGAAATTGGGGAATACGTGATGAATAAAGTAGTTTGACCGGTATACTATCGGAAGTGTACCGGTCAACTTTTTGGTCACCGAGCATCCTTTTACTGATGATTAAGGTCTCTCTTTCAAGTATAATCAACTTGACCAGTTAATTATTTGGTCATCTCCTTTGACCGGTTTTGGTGGAATACACCCATCAATCACAAGCCCCCTTATTTCTTAAATATGTTACATGACACGTTGTCTGTATTACCATGTGAATTCTCTAAATTATCTTTTTTTTACAGAGGCTAATTTATCTAATTACATTAATTTCACCCGATTTCAACATATTTAAATCAAATTGTACTGTACTGATGTAATTTATCAAATTTCACTAAATGTTTACCTAATTTGTTTTCAATCTTAACCAAGTGAAATAATTATTCGACATAATATTAAATGAACTTCACTAAAGTTTTACTTAAATTAATTTCATTATGCATAAGGTTTAATATATGTATAACAAAGCAGGCCTTCGGCCCAACACAAACTATATAAGCCTAAAATACAATTAATTACAAAAATGAGAAGCTCTATGGTGAACCTAAGGTCCATATAGACCTTCTCATATATTTTATTTTTATTTTAAAAAAGTTTATTTTAACACTTGAAAATGTTTGTTTAACATATACGAAAGAACACTATAAATCTTAGATGTATCTAATAATTTACCTATAAAAATATACTTCTTCCGTCTAAAAAAGATGTTCACATTCAAACTGAGATTCAAGAGAGGATATTTTTGTGTTGACTGTCCAAAAATACACTTGATATGATGGGTAACAATATGATGTGACATATAGATTGTTAGCCTTGGTTTGCTAAAGCCTCGTGTTTTAATGTTAACAAACAATATAAGAGCTAACGTTTGTTTAAGTGTTTTAGGTACAACAAGAATCCATTCAGATTTGGTTCTCAAGAATAAATTGAAAATACTAAACTAGCGTAGAATATAAGTAGAAACCATTTTAAGGATATGATTTTATATACATATATTCACAAGCTCAAAAGTACTCACAAAATATGTTTAAAACCTTTTTATAATCATTTTCAAACATCCAAAAGGTTTTAAACAAAATTGGAAACGATTTGGAAAAAAATAAAAAAATTATCAAAACGGTCAGCAGGTACCTAGGTACCGTAAGGGATACCGTGAGTCAATCTAAGAAGGTACCCTCTACCGTCATCCCGGGACCCTCTACCGGAAGGGGTATCGTAAGTGGACAACTATCGTCATAGAGTTTTGGCCTTAGAAGGTACCTAGCTACCGTGACAGGGTACCTTAACCGTTGGAGGTACTGTTCCTAATGGCTGAATTTGAATTTAATCAACCGTAATCACCTCCCAACAGCTAGTTAACACCTTCCACTATAAATACAAGCCTAATACTTCATATTTCAACAAGAACTTAAGCCCCGAACATCCTACTTTTATATTTCAAGTTTGTTTACTCTTTTAATCTTAATTCTTCATATTTAGGCTATTTTAAGAGCCTCATTCTCTTGATTTTTATACACACACTTTTGAGCTTGTGTTTTAGTGATATACTCTCATATTCATAAGTTTATATTGTATTTTTGAGAGACTATAATTTCATTCTACATCGGCTAAGTCTTGTTCTTCATTTTTATATTCAAGCCGTTGTGTAGAACCATTTCTTGTGTTCTTCAAACACACTTTCTTGCGGTCAAGAATAGCCGTTAAATTCTCAAGTTGTAACGGTCGAGGATAGCTGTATAAATCCTTGGGTAAAGGTTCAAGGATTGCCTTTGAAATCTTTGGGGGGAATGGCCGAAGATAGTCGTGAAATCTTCATTTTAAGCGGTTCGAGATAGCCCTTGTGAAATCTCGGAGTGAATCCTATTGGCAAGGGTTGTTTTCCAAACTAGTGCGGTGCTTTGACGGAGCTCAAAAATCGGGACTTAGTGAATTTGGAAATCCTTAAAGAGGAGCCTTAAGGTACTGGAGTAGGGAGTTCCCGAATCAGTATAAAATCGGTGTGCATTTTATTTACGCTTTTATTTCTGCGTTTTATATATCGCTTCTTGTTAGCGTATATTGTATATATAATATGTATTATTTGTATGATTGGCGTTTTACGTTGGGCCACGTCTATTGGGCTTGTACCTTGTATATATATTACTAATTGTATCAATGAAATCACCAAGTTCAGTTCACAAAATTCTACATTTCCGCATCTGCAAATACCGTTCTTGTTAAATTCCTAAAAGTTTTCAAACGCGATATTCACTCCCCTCTAAGGCGTGGGCACAACAACTAGCATACATTATTAGTATAAAGATATGATGTGAGATATTAATAAAGAATTAGTAAGTGTAAATATGATTTTTTAATAGAAAGAGGAAGAAATTTGTGACTCAAGTAAAAAAGATTTTACTTCAAATAATCTTTCTTTGTTTTTGCCCAAAGTAAGAACATGAATTGTTTATCGAAAGAGGGGGAGTATATGAATTATACATATATGCAATTTTAGAGACAGAACAAAACTGAGAATGACTTTCACACTCTTAACAATAAGGTGAGCACAAATTTTCAGTTCTTTTTTGTAAAATGAATAAATCACGAGAAGAAATAGGGAGAAAAACAAAAATAGCACTCTTAAAGCCTAAAAATACTCTAAATAGCAGTGCTATATTTTTCGTACCTGTAATTCCAATTTTGTCCTTTATTTAAACAACAAAGATTTATTATACACTGCCAAAAAATATGATTATTTTGGGCAGTTTGGTTGTTCACTTCTAACTGTGTAGTGGTCGGTACATGTTTTTATATGTGAGTATTTAATGTGGCAGTGTAGAATGAATATATGTTGTTATATCTTACAGGAGTGTGTAAGTGTATTATTGTGTTTCTTAATTTAATGTTAGAGTGCAATGTCAATTCATTTATGTGGCAGTGTTTTCATGCATAAATTATACACTTTCAAAAAGTGTATTACTGTTTTCATGTATGAATTCCACACTGCCCAAAAAATGTATAGCTCTTTTTATGTATGAATTCCACACTATTTTCATGTACCAATTCGACACTGCCAAAAATGTGTATGACTATTTTCATGTATGAATTCCACACTGCCTAAAAATGTATGACTGATTTTATGAATAATCTATTACACCAAAACACACTGGCCAAACATGGGCGTTAAATATGGAACTTAATTGAATACGTACGAATTTGTTTAGGCATTATACATTGATAAATTGCGTAGGAGGAGGATTTCGCATAGCTATGAAAAACGGCATAGGATGATGTTCTCATATGTATGAGATGCATGAATGGGGAAGAGCCGCACGTATGAGGAGGAGTGACTATGTGAATAACCTAAGTTTAATCAAATAATTAAAAGTAATTAAAAATAATAGAATATAATAAAAGGTAGAGGGTATATTTGGAAGATATTGACACTGTAAATAGCTAAATATGTATAAAAGATTAATGAGTGCCATAGGCGTAATATCGAGTGACTTAGAATGTTACGTAGGGTGATTTCTTGAAGCAATATAATATACTAAGTACTTTTTACCACTTTTCATACAAGTGGCTTGAGATTTTTCTGAAGTCTTCACACATGTTTTTTAAAATCAAGAATCAAAACCCTAATCCAATTCATTCTTTAGAGAATCAACCTCCAAAAAGGGAGGAAAGATATATATAAGGGCAGCGTTACGTTCAAATTATTTTTTTGCTCATTACTTATTCTTATTATAATTAGATCGGATCAAACTAGATCAGATCAGTCCATATCAGACCAGATCAGATCAGAAACAACTTTAATTATAACAGCAATCAGAACAGATTAGACCAAATCATTTCTTCAAAAAATCAGATCAGATCGGATCACGCCAATAGAAAGCTTAGCGCAGCCTAAATCGTCAAAGATTGACCAACAATGAGAATGACAACCAAACACGAGAGGATTTAATCTCGAACATGTTCTTTTCAAATTATTCTTATTACTTACTTCCTCTGTGTAAAAAAGATGTTTCCATTTTGACTTTGAGAAAATTTAAAGGGAATTAGTTTTGTATTGATTTTCTAAAAATACCCTTGATGTGATGAGTAAAACTAGAATGTGATGGGTATATTATTAGTAAATTGATATGATGTGATAGGTAAGCTAAGAATTAATAAGGGTAAAAGTAGCTTTTTAATAAAAAGAGGAAACATTTTGTGGAACAAGAAAAAAAGAAAGGAGAATGAGTTTTTGAGACGGAGAAAGTAATACTAATTGTTATTCGAATCAGATCAAATTGGAAACTGATTTAAATATAACTATAATCAGATTTGAACAAACCAGATTAAATAAGAAATTATTCTAATTCAAGTAAAGTGAACCGGATTAGGTGAAAAGAATATACTCCGTAATTTTATAACTGTACATTTCTTATTAGAGTGCATTATTTGAAAGAAAATCTCATCTTAACCGATCATTTTGTTAATAAGTAAGAATGACTACTTGATTATTCAACTAAACTTATGGGCTATGGCCGATTTATGGAATACACAAATACCAAGTGTATCATGTATGGCTGATATTTATTGAATACCCAAGTACCAAGTCTATCATGAAAAAAGATTAGGTGCCACATGGATAATTCAACTGGTTCCAGAGGAGGATGTCAAATTCCTGTAGAGGCAGTGTAAGAGTTCCTATTATTTATAATAGCTTCTTGTGCACACCGGGCATGGAGTGACCTATCTAAAGACCAGATTTAGATTATACAATGATTTACTTCCTCACAATCCTGCCGTGCTGGGATGTGAGGGCGCCCGAGGTCGGCGTTCCACTATATGAAAAACGATAAGGTTGTATAATTCAAAATGGTTCTTTTGACCCTTGAACCTCGGGTCATATTATGATCTGAGGCCCTACGGTACTTCATTTGTAAAATTGATGGTCCTACCACCCTAACCCCCTGCCTCCTACCTACCCACCCCACCTCTGCTTCCCTCTCCCATTTCGCTGATTGGGCGAGAGAGACAGGGTTTATGGGAGGTTAGGGGCTAGAAATCATAAATTTTACAAACGGAGCACCGTATGGCCCTAGGTCATAATATGACCCAAGGTTTAATGGTCAAAAGATCCTTGCCGTATATAATTATGTCTTATAGCTTTATTACAATGTAAATAATTTTTTGGTAGTAATAGTCACTCCTACTAAAACACTAAATATACTCGTCAATTAAATTCACCCCATATGCATTATTATGTTATTATTTTAAAACGTTATACGAATTTCATTAAGTTAAAAAACATTAAACATAAATATTTAAAACTATCCATCATTTATATCATTTTACGAGTATTATTTTATTTTAAAAAAATAAATTTTAATTTTATTTTTAAAACATTGTCACTACTAGTTTTGTAGATCTTTTGATGTAGTATTTTAATATGTAACTTTTATTTTTTACTCTATACCTTTTTTCATATAAAATGATTTGAAAATAATTTCAGTCAAACATCGTAAACCGAAACTGTCACTATAAATTGGGACGGAGGGAGTATAAAACCTTTTTCTATGTATTATACCGATATGCATTTCACCTTTTTTACCTACGTATTTATTTTATTATATAAAAAATGTTATATAGGTTTTACTTTAAAAAAATTTATATGGAGTATAACTTTTAAAACTATTCACCATTATTCTGTTTTATTTGCTTCAAGAACTTTTTTTTTATAAATATTAATGAATGTGCATTCTTATTAAAACAACATGTTTTATTTTAAAAAGATATCATTTATATATCTATAATCTAAAAAAGATATTTAGTGAAGAAAATAAAAATATATTTTAATTCAAAATATAATTTTATCAAATTATTTAAAATTGTAAAATTTTCCCTATGAACTAATGGATGAAAAATAACTTAGAAATTAATGGAACGAATTTAGTGCGTGAAGTGAAAGATTTACTTATTTATTTTATAAATAATATTTTCTTAAAATGAGTTCAAAATAAAGGAATCACCCGAAATATGAGAAAAATATAAAGAAAGTATCAAAATAGGAGCTCCATATTTTTTCCCCTAAATAAAAATTTACACTGTAATAATGTAACACTTTATATGGACATTTCACAATACTTTTTGGTATTATATAGTGTCATGATTGACATTGTATATGCATTTTATTTTCTATTTTGAAGAAAAACATAAAACTCATATTTTGGTAGACTTTCTATATTTTACTACTAATTTAGTCTTTTTCGCTTTAAAATAGAGAATTAAATAAATAGGGTTAACCCAACCTATTAATATACGGCCTTTTAGAAGTGTCTAAAAACAAATTCGTGAGAAATTGGTCCAGAACGGACAATATCATACTAACACGGGATTGAAGTGAGTGCAGCGCGATCCCAACATGCTCCTCGGAATTCAATATTCACCAAGGTTCCCATGACATTGGAATCCAATGTCATGGGATGACCTAGGGGCGCTCCGGTGTCCCGTTCGTAAAATTGACGGTTCCTATTACAATAGTACTATCAGATTGCATATTGATCGTAGATATGCACAAAATACCGAGGGATCCATATAATGATATGGACTAAAAAATTGTTGGAACATTATGGTAAAAAACATTATATTGACTCTTTAAACTGTCTGCACTTCTTGCAATTTTGAGGTAGCAGTTGGTCAATACAACTTTCAACGCTTATCATGGGTCATCTGGAAACAACCGTTATATGTTTTAAACACAGGGGTCAAACTGCGTACATCCGACCCCCCTTACCCCGCAATGGGCGGGAGCCATTGAGGCACTAGGGTAATGTTGTTGTTGTTGTTTTTAGTGTTGGTGATAATTAAGCAATTAGAGAATTCGTGTAAAATCTCAAATTTAGAAACATTGATAGGAATTTTTCCATTATTAAATGGGAAGGGAGGGAGTAAATCTCACAACTCAAAATATTGATGAAAGAGGAGAAGAAAAGAATGATGCCCAAATGTGCCAGACGCACATTACCTGCAGTCCTGCATTTACGATTAAGAATCTCTCAAATGACAACTACTCTGCATATTCTTTTCCTTTCTCATCCCTTTTTTTCCAAACTGTACGCCTCTGTCATTCTTCCTATAAAACCCCCCAATGGAAGCTGGCATAAACAACCTGCAGCCAAAGTTCTAATATTTTGCATTCATCAAGATCTCAGAACAACCCAAAATGGCCACCACCCGTCTTGCTTCGAAAAGGTCTATCCCGGCAGCCGATAATGCCCTGAAGAAAAACCAGCGCAACGTGAAAAGGTGCTTCGCTAAGTTCATGGAGAAGGGGAGAAGGATGATGAAGATTGAGGAGTTGATGGAGGAGATGGAGAAAGCGGTTGATACTCCAACTGATAGGAACCAAGTCTTGGAGGGCTGGTTTGGCTACATTTTGTGCAATACCATGGTACTCAACTCAATTAAACCACTTAATGTTCTTTCTAGTATTCCAATGTCTTGTCCGAAAACTATATTATATTTTTGGGTTTGGAAACTTGACGACAGGAAGCGGTTGTGGTTCCTCCTAGTATTGGTTTTGCCACAAGAAAAGATCCCGGGTTCTGGGAGTATGTTAAGATCAATGGCGACGATCTATCGTTAGAGCCTATCACGGCTACAGAATACTTAAAGTTAAAGGAAACAATTGTGGATGAGGACTGGTATATGATTTAGCCTGTTGTCGTTTTACATTACTAAGTTAAAAGAAGGTTGGGTTAAAGAGATTCACGCTTTGCAGGGCAAGAGATTCGAATGCGTTGGAAATTGATTTTGAAGCAGTAGAATCATCCGTGCCTCGCTTGAGGTTGACTTCTTCAATTGGCAATGGATTGAAATCCGTGACGAAGTTTCTGAGTACCAAGCTTAGTGGTAGCTCAGAGACAGCACAAGCTCTTGTGGAGTATTTGCTTTCCATGAAACGCCAAAAATGTGTATGTTATGTTACCATAAATTTAAGAAAAAAATGGAGGAGTATATATGAGACATGAATGTGAACTCTTTGTTGAATTTGCAGACATTGATGATCAATAAGAAGCTCGGCACGGTTTCAAAGCTCCAAGCAGCACTTATTGCGGCTGACATTGCCCTCTCATCATTGCCTAAAGATGCACCATACCAAAGTTTTGAGAAAATGTACACTTACTTTCATAGCTCTTTCTCTATAAGTGGACATAGGAAAAGTGGCATTTAGTAGTTTACCCTATTTTTCTTGTGCAGGCTGAAAGCGCGTGGCTTTGAAAAGGGGTGGGGTAACACTGCTGAGAGAGTCCAAGACACAATGCGAGCGCTTTCCCAAGTGCTTCAGGCTCCGGATCCGTTAAGCGTGGAGAAATTCTTCGCAAGGCTTCCGATTATTTTCAATGTCGTGTTATTTTCTGTCCATGGGTACTTTGGGCAACAAGATGTACTTGGCTTGCCAGATACAGGTGGCCAGGTGGTTTATGTTTTGGATCAAGTGGTTGCTTTTGAAGAGGAGTTGCTATTGAGAATTGAGCAACAAGGGCTTAATTTCAAGCCTAAAATACTTGTGGTGAGTTTCCATGATATTGTAAGAGATCAAATTACTAGGATATGAATTGATCTGTTCCTTGTATACAAACTCTATATAGGTAACAAGACTAATCCCAGATGCAAAAGGAACAAAATGTAACCAGGAACTTGAACCAATCCTCAACACAAAGCACTCTCACATCCTTAGAGTCCCATTTAGGACAGAAAATGGAGTGCTCAATCAATGGCTTTCTCGGTTTGACATTTATCCTTACCTTGAGCGGTTCACTCAAGACGCTGCTCAAGAAATCACCAAGCAGATGGATGGAAAACCGGATTTAATCATCGGAAACTATAGCGACGGGAATTTGGTGGCATCACTATTGGCAAACAAACTTGGGATCACTTTGGTATGCTTTTTTTTCCTCAACCATTTCTTGTATTCATCTTTGGAATGAATTTTACTCAATAGTAGTACTGATGATCAAAGTTCGTCGAACTTGACTGAAAAAAGTCAAACTGAACAAATGATGGGTTTCTTATTTTTGTTTAAACATTATTGGAAAAGGGTACCATTGCACATGCACTAGAGAAGACAAAATATGAAGATTCAGACATAAAATGGAAGGAGTTAGACACCAAGTATCATTTCTCTTGCCAATTCACAGCTGATTTGATTGCAATGAACTCTGCTGATTTCATCATCACTAGCACTTACCAGGAAATAGCTGGAAGGTGAGAAAACAGCACTTGGAAAACACATTCATTCATTCGGTTGCATATATTAACAATGTGCAACAATTTGTCACAGCAAAGATCGACCCGGGCAATACGAAAGCCACAGCTCATTCACAATGCCAGGGCTGTACAGGGTCGTCTCCGGCATTAATGTGTTCGATCCCAAATTCAACATTGCTTCTCCAGGGGCAGACCAGTCTGTTTACTTCCCTTACACCCATAAAGATAAGCGATTCTCTCAGTTTCATCCTGCCATTAAAGAGCTTCTCTATGGTAAACCAGACAACATCGAACACATGTGAGTAGAGTAGTGCGATCCATCAATAACTCTTGATCCTACATTTAATTGCTAATCAATTCGATCATTTGAACGAAAACAGAGGATTCTTGGAGGACAAAAACAAACCAATCATATTCACCATGGCGAGGCTCGACACAGTGAAGAACACAACCGGATTAACAGAATGGTTCGGGAAGAACAAAGCACTGAGGAGGCTGGTTAATCTGGTTGTCGTTGGTGGTTCCTTTGACCATTCAAAATCCAAAGACAGGGAAGAAGCGACCGAAATAAAGAAGATGCACGAGTTGATAGACAAATACGAACTGAAGGGTGATATGAGATGGATAGCAGCTCAGACAGACAGGCAGAGAAACAGCGAATTGTACCGGGTTGTTGCAGACACAAAGGGAGCTTTCGTACAGCCGGCTTTCTACGAAGCATTTGGCCTCACTGTCGTGGAGGCAATGAACTGTGGGTTACCCACATTTGCAACCAACCAGGGTGGCCCTGCTGAGATCATTGTTGATGGGATTTCTGGGTTTCACATTGATCCTCACAATGGAGATGAGTCTAGCAATAAGATTGCAGATTTCTTTCTGAACTGCAACAAGGATAGTCAGCATTGGGACACGATCTCAGCTCAGGGCCTGCAGCGTATAAACGAACGGTAACGATTGTGAGAAACATGATCGGATAGAACAAAATAAAAACCAACTAATGTTGCTTTGATTCGATTTGATTTGATCAAATCTTTATGCAGTTACACATGGAAGATCTATGCAGACAAGGTTTTGAACATGGGTTCTGTGTACAGCTTCTCGAGAAATGTGTTGAATGATCAGAAACAAGCAAGCCTAAGTTATATTCGAGCCTTCTACCAGCTTCAGTTCAAGAACTTAGTATGTACTAATATACTATTAATTGTTACTTAATTTGCAGCATTGTCATGTCAATCTCAATTATTGTTTTTCTTGTTGCGTTAAGGTTAAGAGCATACCATTAAGAAGTAATGAAGCTCCACAACAGCTGCAAAAAACAAGAGACGAAGCAGAAGCCCAAGCCGTAACTCTATGAAGTGAAAAGTGTAAGAAGATCCACATTTTCACGTGTTGACCTTTGAACTACAAAAGTAAAACTCCATTATCAATGTTCGGATGCAAATAATAATTCACGTTTAACGAAGTTCGATTTGAATACTTCTTGAAAAAAGTCTTAGTTTAACAAAAAAAAGTTAAGTTCATTATGGGAGGTATAGTCTTTGTTGCACGGGTTCTTCAAATAGGTTCCGCTTTCTGTCCTCGAAACGTCCCCTTTCGGGTACTTGGAGGCGTCCCCACACCTAAATCTTTTATAAATTATGAAAAAAATTGACGATTCGGCCCCGTCCTTGTATATATCCATGTCTCCGCCTCGGTGCAACTTAGGGTATAGTGCATTGGCACATTGTGGCATCACTTTGTCTCATGTTTCTGCAGACATCTTGGAGCAATTGAGGGATTCATTCAAATTATGGAAGCTCTTGCATGTGTTAGCAATAAATGTTCAAATGTGATTATTATTTTGATATTGGCAAGTGAGTGCATTGTATGTACATGGCGGCTCTGTTGGGCTGGTCTACATTTCAAAATGACATCCCAATCAAACATGCCCAACAATTTAAAATAAGTTGCATTGAGAGTATGTTCTACGGAGTACCATGTAAAATAAATACGGACTAAATAAACGAATGATAGAAAGGGACTTCGCCTAATGTTATTGGGCATCCTTGTACCCCAAAAAAGAAATTATAGGTTATTATTTTAATTTTTTTCAATTTATCTTATTTTAAGATTGGAAATAAAAAAAAATTACTCTATATATTTAGAGTTACTCTAAAAGTACTACAAAACAAGAGCTAACAAAAATATTTTATTTTATTAAATAATCAATGAAAACACACAAATTATCAAAAGTTCTATTTGTTTCAATAAAAATTGGTCTGCACGAACTCGGGCCAGCCAGTTCAATTCATCCCGCCCTTAAGAATTGATAGATATGGATAACTATATAAATCCAACCGACCCACTTTGATCCGGCCCGTAAGATTATATGGACGTGCATGAACATTGGGTTTGGCATGCATGGGCCGACAGGCCCACCCACATTACGCAAATATATAATATACACATACACCTGGAAAAAAATGACCAGACCTGTTTTTGAGACGAAAACCGACCTGAAAACACTGGGTTTGAACAAAGGTTTTGATGAACGAACACGAAGTTGACCGAACCCGAAATGACCCGCTAAAAATGGGTCAAACCCGATCGAACCCAAACCTGATCTGACCGACCCGCTAAAATAAGAGTTTTTCAAAGTGAAATTTGTACCAAATAGGACTAAAACATAATGACTGTCCTAATCTAGGACTTAAATGTTTTTATTTCCTAAATAGGACTTATTAATGTCTTAGTGGGAGGAATAATGTCCAGTAATGATGGACATTTATTTGAATAATGACTAACTCATAATGACCATAAGTAAATTATTCTTTTTCAAAATCATACACTTTACTACTCGTTTTTAGTGTATAAATTTATATTTTCAGACAAAATTTTAATGATATTACATAATTATCTTACTTTTTCTAAAACATAAGCATTTTTTAAATTCTTTATATTGATTTATATATCTAAAAATTATTTCAGAATTTAAAATAAAATAATCTAAAAGATTTAATACATTTTTTTTGATATTTTAAGTTTATTTAATAGAAAATGTAAATGTTAATGTGAAATTAAAAATTTAAAAAACCAAAGTCATAACACGTTGGGTCAATCCGAACCCGATGACACTGGGTCACTAACATACAGTTCTCAATCCGAACCCGAATCGATCCGGACCCGAAATAACCTGAACTTAAAGTGATCGAATTCGAACCCGACCCGACCGGCCGATTTTCCAGCTCTATATACACACATATACTCCATATTGTACTAATATATTGTACTAATATATTGATATGTGTCTTTCTAGAAAAAATATACCCAGTAGTATAATATGAAATACTTCATAATAACATGAAGTAAAATAATCGATACAAATACTTATTCATATTAAAATGTTGTAAGGTGTAAATATCATATTATATTTATTATAATATGAAACAAAATAGTATATATATGTGTGTGTGTGCTGCTGGCCGGGCCACCTTGTGACCTGTTTGAATTACTTTCATGGGGAGATATGGGCATGATATTTGGCCCGAGACATATGGGAAAAATTGACCTTAGGCCCGGCAAGATCAGGCGGTATCCTGTTTGTGTATGTCTAAATGAAAATAGAAAGTAAAATGAATGAAAGCATTTGTTTAATATTTATATTCATTCATTTTTCAAAAAATCTAGAGTGCTATATTGGTCTTTACTCCCTCTGTCCCGAAATGGATTATAATCCTTTTCTCTCACCTCTCGATAACTTTTATTTATACGTTTGTTTTCAATGATAAATTGATAATTAAAATATTCTTATCACTTCTTGTTTTGTAAAACTTTTAACATAGTTTCTTAATATGTAATTTTTATTTTTTATTGATTTATCAATTTGCAAAAAAATGATTTCAAAAAGCCGAGAAATTTTGCCTCGTAACCCCCATTTGCAATATAATCCAGACGAATGAATATAGCATTTTTAGCCACATACATGAAAAATCACTATTCTTAAATTTTGATTGTCACTTTGATTGTGTTATGAAATGGGGAGACTATTTATTTCACTACGATTAAGGGCATGTTCTTTAGGACTGGAAGAAAAGAGCTGGATGTTGCAAGAAACTGGTAGGAACTGAAAAGAACTGGAAATAACTGGAAGGAACTAGAAGAAACCGGAAGTTAAGAGTTCAAGCTCTAAAGAACAAGCCCTAAGAAGTGAATACTTTATTTAGGGAGAATAATAAGAACACGAGTAAAATGGATTCTAAATGCCTAAAATAGGAGTATTAATTTTTTTTACCCATACGAGTTATTTTTTAATACCACCACTGCCACATTGCCAACTCCACCGCCACACTGCTAACTACGTCGCTAGCCACCCTACTCCCACCGCCATTACACTATAACTGCCATCATTTCCACCACCGCCACCCTGCATACGCACACCCAAGGGCGGAGCTATTAAGGGGCAATTGACTATACAACCAGGGGTGGAGCTATTCAATTGGCACTAGGGGCGGAGGTGCAAACCTATTCCATCGACACCATGTTTCCATCTTTTTTATGGTGGTTTTCATCTACTTTGATTTCCTTGAGATGCATTGTTTATTTGTTTACTCCGTTGTTTGTTTAGATTGTTAAATTTTTAATTTTTTTGTAGTTCAATAATATTTTAGTATATTGAAGTTAAGTCAAAGAGAAAAAAACAAATAAATAAGCACCAATTTACTAAATATTTTTAATTTATTGTTTATGTAGATATTTTAATTGACTTTATAATCTCATAAACTTGACTGTTTTTACATAAAATACTTCATTTTGTTTATACATTTTTTTCGCCCCCCCCACTCTATGAATTTCCTAGCTCCGCCCCTGCACACACCCCCGCCAAAATCCCAACTTCGATGCTGCGACTACCACCGTCGCAACGCCATGTACATTGCCACTACCACTCTAATGTACATCATACATTTTCCATGAGATGAATAAAAAGTGTATGGTCAATGATATATAGAGAGATGTGCAAAGTAGGAACAAATTAGTTTAGCACCTAACATTATTTTTTATTCAATAAAGTCTAAGATAAGCCTAAAAGAATGGCCACAAGCATGACTCCATACTTCACACAGACTATCCAAGTTTTTATTGATTATGCGACACAAACAATAAAAATCTCTGTAATATGTGTGAAGCATCTCATTATGCCTGAGGTCATCCTTTAGAGATTAACCTACCTAACACGGTTCTTCTTTACTTAATAGAGGGAAAGAGGACTCCATGATACGAATAACGTATCGGATAGGGAAGAACTTCGAGCGTTCTTCAAGCTCCAAGAAAGGGGAGGCAAAAAGAGAAGGAAAACGTCGAGCGTTTCCGAGCTCCAAAGAAAGAGAACGAGATTAAGAGAATTCTTGATTATAGATTGATTGAATAATAATAACAAAATATTACAATATATAAAGACGTAGAAAACCCTAATTGACCTAATGGGCTCGGGCCCACACTAAAACCCTAAATCATCAATAAATAATAATAATAATAATAAATAACTGCTAAATAATAATATAACTAATTAAAATATTATAATTAACTATCTGTATCATTCCCACCCCCTTAAAAACCACCTTGTCCTCAAGGTGGAGGCTCCCTCTACTCGTGCTTCTGGACTGGAGAAATAATATTAAATTAAAGGAGCAGTCCACTCTTTGAATCTTCAACCATCTTGGAACTTGGAGCAAACCGAGGGACATGCGAGATAGAGCCAATATCTAGTGTAGGTTCTCTCGGTGAAACTAGGTGCCTTGTCTTGACCGCATCAACATTGTCAGACAACTTAATGGTGTCAAATGAAATGGGGTTGTCCACATGCGTATTATCTGCATCTGCCACCTTGTTGGCACCTTCTAGAAGAGCAAGCGCTTTATTACTTTCAACGACGTTGGACCTCTCTTCATCTTCATTCATGAGTTCAGGCCTACTGTCCATAACATCCCCAACATGTGGTTCGACACTTGAGTCATCCTTTAATTCCTTTTCATGAGACTCAGTGTTTTGTACGGTGACCATAAGAGCCAAATTCGGTGAAGAAAGTGGTGTCGCCGTCGAGTTTGCCGCTGGGTCTTGTCGTCGCCGCCGTGAAGAAGATCGCTGACGTTGCCACCGTTGCGTGTTGCCAGCGCCGAGCTCCCAGATCGCCGCCACTGTTTGCGTATAAACCGCCGCACGCAGGAGCAACGGCAGAAGGAGCCACTGTCGCGTGGAGGAGCCGCCGCCATCGTTTGCAGATCCTGAACTGCCGTCGTCCTCAACTGTCGCTGCTGGTTCGAGGAGATCACCGCCGCCGTCCGCGTGCAGTCAAGCCGCGTGCCAATCGCAGGTGTGATTTCGCCATTCACCGTCAATCTGCCGTCGTGCCAAGGAGAGGGAGCCAACGCCACCGTCGAGGGGCCGTCTAGACTTGCCGCCGTCTTTGGTGAGTGTTCCTGCGAAACAACAAAGAAAAAAAGACGTAAAAGAAGAGGTTGTGGGTTGAGTGAGGTGAATTATTGGAGTGGTGGGCCACTTGTGGGGGGAAAAAAATCAAAAGGTGGGCCAGAAGTAATTGATTGGTCTTGGACCATAATTGGTGTGGTGGGCTAATTTTCTGAAAAATTACCAAGATCTGAAATTAATTGAACCGGGTATCTCGTCTGGTCGCTTGAGATGGCAGAAGATGGGAAGTTCCGAATTGAGAAGTTCGATAGTACAGATTTCAGTTGGTGGAAGATGAAAATTGAAGATTTGCTGGTTCAGAAAGATTTGGATGTGGTTTTAGGTGACAAGCCAGAAAAGATGTCGGATGCAGATTGGGATCAGAAAGCTATGTCCGTGATCCGCCTCTTGTTGACCAAGAATGTTGCGTTCAACATTCTGAAAGAGAAGACAGCAAAGGGAATTATGGAAGCATTGTTTAACACGTACGAGAAGCCATTTGTAGCGAACAGAGTTTTTCTGATCAGAGAGCTGGTGAACACAAGGATGAAAGAAGGCACTTCAGTTACCAAACATATCAATATAATGAATTCGATCTTAACCAGACTTGCGTCAGTGAAGATTAAGTTCGATGATGAAGTTCAAGCTTTGCTACTGCTATCGTCTTTGCCTGATAGTTGGTCCGGAACAGTTACAGCGGTTATTGGTTCAGTGGGACCCAATGGATTAACCTTTGATCAGATTTGAGATCTCGTTCTTGGCGAGGATGTCAGAAGAAAGAGTTCAGGGGAGTCATCCGGTGAATTGCTTCATGTTGGTAGAGGCAGAAGAAATAGCAGAGGTAGTGGGAGCAGGAACACGCAAAGGAGTCAGTCGAAGGCTCATGACAGCTTAGGTGTAACGTGCTGGAAGTTCAAGGAGGTGGGGCATTTTAGGAATCAATGCCCGAATGATAAGAAAGTGAACATTACTGAAGGCTCCGCGAGTGATGAAGAGGTCCTTCTGACTTGTTTTGCGGAGAGCAGTGTGGATTCCTGGGTCATGGATTCTGGTGCTTCATCTCATGCTATCCACAGTGGTGAAACATTGCAGAATCTGGTTATTGGAGACTTTGGAAAGGTACGACTTGCATACGATAGAGCTCTTGAGGTGACAGGCAAGGGTGACATGATGTTGAAGACCTCAGTCAGTTTCTAGACTTTGAAGGATGTCATAGTGGTTCCAGCTTTGAATAAAAAGTTTGATTTCTATCAGGCAGTTGAACGAACATAGACACGAGGTGAAGTTCAGAGATGGGCAGTGGAAGGTCGCAAAGGGAAATCTTGTCATGGCCCGCGGAAGGAAGAGTGGCTCGTTGTATATGGTCGAGTTACCATCTGAGGGAGTGACCGTCTCAGTTCAGAGGAGAAACAAAGTCCGGTTCACAAAGTCTCGTGGGCAGAATAAGGTTTTCTATGCAAGAGAGAAACCTAGAGCCACAGGTCAGACTCATGATGAACGAGCGAGGAAAGGTTCAAGGAGGCCAGTCAGAGGTATTTATGGCAGTGGGAGCTCAAGATGCGCTTCAGCCAAGTTGCCTAGAAGAGAGTGGGTCAGGAGAATCAATATTCCAGCTGTTAGAACATCTCTAGAAAATTTCTTGCTAAGTACGGAGAGTGTTTGTTCTCAGGATGTTCCAAGATCTGGTAGTGTGCATCTGCAGTGAGAGCCGGTAGGGACCGAGGACGAGTCAAGGGCAGATTTTGCCGTGACTGATGTGTTGGAGCTTGGGAGAGCTTCAATGAGCCTTTCAGTTGTCTGATGATAGGGTCGCTGCAACAGGAGAGCTGAGGAAGATTACTCGATATACATGCAATCGTGGTGGATGGCAGTTGATGACTATCAAGCCTCCAAGTGGGAGAATGTGGGGTTTGTGGAGGCTTGGGCTTGACTTGTAGGCCCGACCCATGTTTTGTAACCCTAGGTATTTCTCCTATATATTAGCCCTTGTACTTGTAATTTCGTGAGACATGACAAGCGAAATAGAAATCCTCCTATTGCAGCCGTGGATTAGGGAAACTGAACCACGTTAAATTATTGTGTCATCCGTGTTCCATTTCTCTCGTTTCTCGCAGATTATTTGTGTGTGTTGTGTGTTTTAATTCCCAACACCTTCATCATGTTTGTTTTGAAATTTTGTAACTCCTAAGAAATCAAACTCGGAAAAATTAGGGGGCCACGAACCAAATTCTGTATTGTGCAAGAGATTTCAATGTCAAATGCGTGTAAGTCAAAATCATAATTTGACTTACATTCAATATGAAGAAATGACTGAAGATTCTTTATAATGTCATCTATATAATCGTAAAGTGTGCACACTCCTTCGTCGTGCTCAATTTCGCCATAAAGAATATTCTCCAACAAATCAATGAGTTTGTCCAATGCACAAGTACTCATAATTAAAGTCTCTAACCGCTTGAATCGGGTCTCCGTTCGAACGGAAAAATGTTGTAGCATTTCAACTAGCGGTTTAATAAATGTACCCGTTCTTCGGATTTCAACACGATCTAGCTCGTAGCAACTCCTGGGCTTGTTATGCAGCTGTGCAATTTGAAGCGAGGCGATAGCAAATCTTGTGGTGACGTGGAAAAATCCAAATTCTTCAAAGAACAATTATTATCAATAATTGGATTACTTTGATCCCAATTCCTCTGACAAAAAAAACCCCACTACAAACAACCAATTCCTCTTCTTAATTGCTTAATTCCCCCAAAACTAAAATGGATGTGCGTAGGTTTTTTTTGGGGCAACTGATGAAGAAGAGGCAAAGCAATTGGATGATATTATTTGGTCTGCAATTTCCCCCCGGAAACAGCTACCGAGCAAAGTGGACAACGGCAAATTCGCTACGAATAGCAACGGAAAATTGTGCTGCAACGGCGTGGTAGGTTTGGGCCAAACCCTAGATGTCGCGGAAACTCCGGCTGCGCTAAATTGATATGTACGACCGTCAATAGGGCTGCAATTCTTCTTCTCTCGCTCTTTTTTTTGTAGATTCGCGCCGGCAGATCAAAGATAGAACAATGGAGATGGAGGCAACTGATATCTTTTTTTTGTGATTTTTTTTGTTTTTGTAGGAGTTCAAAGCAATGAGAGCACCAATTGCTACGAATAACGTATCGGATAGGGAAGAACTTCGAGCGTTCTTCAAGCTCCAAGAAAGGGGAGGCAAAGAGAGAAGGAAAACTTCGAGCATTTCCGAGCTCCAAAGAAAGAGAACGAGATTAATTGAATTCTTGATTATAGATTGGTTGAATAATAATAACGAAATGTTACAATATATAAAGACCAGAAAACCCTAATTGACCTAATGGGCTCGGGCCCATACTAAAACCCTAAACCATCAATAAATAATAACAATAATAAATAACTGCTAAATAATAATATAACTAATTAAAATATTATAATTAACTATCCGTATCACTATGGCTGGGTTGGGAAAACCGAATTGAAATTGATCGAAACGAGCTAGAAAAAAACCGAACCGAAAAAACCAAAACTGAATGTAAAAAAACCGAACCGAACCGTTAGTGTTTGGTTCCGTTTTGGTTTTCACTTTGAAAAACCAAACCGAACCGAATAAACGGAACTTTCTTAGATACTTCGCTTTATTTATATGAATATATGTGATATGTAGAAAAATTATAGAAACATGTATAGCAAATAAATTACTAGTCGATTAAAACTATTTTCTTAACTATTAATTAAGCATTCGAGCCATATTATTATAAACTTTAAAAAATTCTAAGAATATGAACACTAATAGCTAATCCTAAAACATAACTATTAATTAAACATTCGAGCCATATTATTATAATGAAAATGAAAGTATTATACCAAAAAACATAAATTCTTCGTAATTGATTTTACATATGATGTCTTTGGAAGTATTTGGAATCTTCTAAATGTGTGTTGGGCACTAAATACATATTTTTTTAGGTAAAATTGAACCAAAAGGAACAATAACCTTTCGTTTGGTTTTTGTTTTTGTGTAAAAATCAAACAAAAAAACCAAAGCTAACACTAGATATTGTTATTGTTTCATCGAGTTAGTGTTTTTACTATTGTTTAATGCGTATAAATTTCTATTTTTATAAACCGAAAAAACCAAAAAAAAAACAAAACAAAAACCGTATAAAACCAAACCGAATAACCAACGGTATACATATTTTTTATGCAAACCGAATCAAACCAAACCGCCAATTTATCTTCCGTTTTGTCTTTGGTTTTGCGTGAAAACCGAACCACCAAAGCCGAACTCACCCCTACGTATCACTCAATCTCTATGTGCTCCTCATTAGGGGTGGACACGGTACGGTTCTGGGACGGTTCCGGTACCGCCACCCCATGGCACCGGTACCGTGATCGGACCGGCCGGTACCGGTTCCGGTTCCCGGACCGGCGGTTCCGGTACCAGACCGGCCGGTTTTGCCCCCCCCCTATAATTTTTTTTTTTGCTTTTTTTAAAATTTTTAAAGTATAAAATTGTAATTTGTAATTGTTTAAGGAAAGAACGAAATAAAAAATCTAAAAATGTAGTTGTAATTTAAATATTGAAAATGAGTAATACACTAACTGAAGAACAACCACATTTAATATCCTGACGGTTCAAAAAAAGCGACGAGGTAAAGAACCGTAAAGAAACCCTCGAAGGAGCTTATATGTCGCTCACCTAAAAAAACTAATTACATATTTATATTAACATAAAAAAAAATTATAACTTATTCTTCAGAACTCGGACTTCCATCTGTGGTTGCATTCATGTAATGCTCTGATTCGAGTTAGTACGATGACTCTTGAGCTCGACGTCTTGCCAAGAGCCAATCTTGGTTGCAAACCAGTGTTTCAAGAGATTCAGCGTTAAGACAACTTCGGTAGTCGGTTAAAATGTTGCCGCCAGCACTGAATTCTCTTTCAACTGCTACTGTTGGTACCGGACGGACAAGACTTGTCTTGCTAGCATGCCGAGCCATGGGAACATGTGTTAATTCCGCTTCCACCATCCGAGCACGTCAAAATCGACGTCGTCGTCATCGTAATCGCATGGCACACCCTGGTACATAGCAAGTTCGTTGTGCGAGCTTCTTGTTGTACCACTTGAACTCCGCCCATAGCTTCTAGTCCCTGTTGAACACATAAATTTAAAACATGACAGACACACCGTTGATGCAGAAATCTACCCATAGTCGTAGACGGTGGGCAAATTTCTCTAAGTCTAGGAATAGCAGCAGTATTATTAGTAGCATTATCAAAACCAAATGAAAAAACTTTTTCAGATAAGTTATATTCCCGCAGAATACTCTGAAGCAATAGAAAAATATTTTTAGCAGTATGCTGATCATTGAAATCATGAAATGCAAGAACACGTTTATGCATAATCCAATCACTATCTATCCAATGACAAGTAACACCCATATAAGACAAATTATGATAAATTTCACCCCAAATATCAGAACAAATAGCAACACGAGAATTAAAATTGAGAAAAAAATTTGCCAAATTAATTTTTTCCATTTTATACTGGCGAATAATTTCTCGTTTAATTGTTTTTCTTGAAAAACCTCGTGCTTGAGGGTTTAATGCATGTTGACAATAATCAATAAAACCAAGTTTTTCAGAAAACATGTATGGCAAATTTTCTTCACAAATCATTTCGGCCATTTTTTGCTTATTTTGCTCGTCGCTATAAGCAAAAAGGCCGCCCTTACCTCTGTTAGCAAACCGAGAAATTTGGGTTTGCACTTCTTGTCGTTCCTTTTTTTTTCCTCGTATTTGGCATACTCCACGGGATGCCTCGACCTTAGGTGTTTTTCCGGACCGCCATAACCGCCGGAAACTCCCATTTTTATGACGGTCCCGCAATGCTTACAAGTTCCATAAACTATGCCATCTTTTGTGTCTTTGTCAAAATGATAAACAAATAAATCTGATTTATATTTTTTTTACCTTTGTCTGGACCTCGAGAGGTCTCAGGCTCACCTTCCTCCACGTCGACGTCGTTGCTCTGCGGTGTAGGCTCCTCGTCCCCGTCTAGATTATCCAGTCCTGCTTCATCAAGATCTTCGAATACACTATCAAGAGTGGGGAGATTAGCGTCCCCTCTACCAGAATAAATCTGGTCGAATTCTTCATTCGTCATAGCGCCCCCGATTAAGTGATCGGGGATAGTAGGAAAGGAAGAGACAGAGTGTCTTCCTCGAGAACCGCGTCCGCGTGAGGTCGAACCGTCGGAGGTGGCTTTAGCTTTGCCTTTCCTCAAACTTCGGTTCACGTCGCCCATATCCACGGACCTTCTACCGGACCCCCTCGACATTTTAATATATATTTTTTTGATATTAAAAAAATATATATTACTTTTGGAAAAATTAAAAAAATTTCGAAATTTTATATATTAAAATTTCGAAAATTTCAATAAATAATAGAGAATATATTTAAAATATAAATTATATATTTTTTGATATTAAAGATATATTAAATTTCGAAAATTTCAAATAATTTCGAAATTTTATATATTAAAATATAATATATTTAAAAAAGATAGATAAGAATTAAGAAATTAAGAATGATTGATAAGAATTAAGAAATTAAGAATGATAGATTGAGATTTGAGAGAATGAGAGATGGATTGAGTATTTGAGATTTTGGGTGTGATATTTTATGAAAAAAGGGGTATTTATAATGTTTTTTTAGCCTCCCCCTCCCCTCCCCGATCCCCATCCCCCCCCCCTTCCCTCTACCGGCTCAAGAGCCGTTGAGGCCCCCCCCATTGACTTTTCTTTTTTTTTTTTGCAGGTGTCCATTGGCAGGAGCAAAAAAAAGAAAAAAAAATTAAACCGGCACCGGTGCCGGTGACGAAAATTGGGAACCGGACACTGTACCGGTTGGGGCGGTACCCGTACCAGTTCCAGGAACCAGTTGCTCGTCTCCGGTGACGGTACTCGGTACCGGCACCGGTGACGGTATCGCACCGATACCGTGTCCAGGCCTACTCCTCATCAATCATAAAGCAATGGATTACAAAGTCATTGTTTGACTCTCTCATATCTCTCCTGTCAACTGCGTCTCACATCTATCTATTCTATCTATCCATACATCTTTTCTGCTCTGCCAAATTGTCTTGAGTGGTGGTCGGTCTCCGCGCCATGCATTTATTACGTGCACCATCTCGTTGGATGGGCTTAGCCCTCCCCTGTCGCGGCCATATATCAATGGACAGTGTTTTTTAGGGTCATGGTGATTCGACTCCCATCTCTGAACAACGTACTACGTGTTGAGTGTTACT